GCTTGACCTACTTATGCAAATGTCCACACTCAACCAGTCATCACAGACACGGGTTATTGACTTAGATTGATTTAGATCATCCAGTGATCAAAAGGGGCCCCCCTTTTCCAGAAACTCGTGGATTCCGAAATAGAAACTGAGGCCACTTGAAACGGTAAATAGCAGAGAAGATGCTGTGTAGGCCACTCATAAAGGAGCACTCTAGCACTGTGGCACTGTCATCCCATTGCTCATTGATTAGCTCTAGTGGACACCAGTAATGTCTCTATTCGTCCGAGCCCTGAGATTTTAGCAGCCTCTCCTTACTTGTCCTTCCAACGCTGCTGTATTGGAGGCTCTCTCAGGTTCAGGGGAATGAGACCCGTTATTGTTACCATTTTTGGCATGTTAAATACGCCATGGGTAGCTTGCCAGGCTCTGCCGTGCTGGCAGGATACCCTTGGTAGCTTGCTGGGCTCTCCAAGGGGGACAGAGGCTTTTGGGGAGACCTCTAATCACTTTTACAGGTGTTCCCAGTCTACCAAATGTAGGCTTTTGGTCGACTGGCTTATTGTAGCAATCTGCATGCTGACAAACATGCTGACAAAAACATAATCCTTTATGTTTTATAAAAATCATTTCATTTCATTTCATCATTTCATCAACCTGTTAATCGTCGATTGCCTCGAGCAGGCCCCAGTAACGTCTCTTTCATCCTAGCCCTGAGATTATATTCACGGCTCTTTAGGAGAATGAGACCCATCATTGTTACTGGTATTTGGCATATTTGGTAGGCCACGGGGAGTTTGCCAGACTCTGCCCTGTGGGCAGGCTACATTCGATAGCCTGCAAGTTTGTCCAAAGTAGGAATGAGATAATAAGATGTCATAATAAGATGTTCCAGAAGCTGGATTTTATAGTCTCTGAGTCTTGGCGGATCTGGGTGGAAGATGCTCGACTCCAATTCGAGTAGGCTTGGAGGTCTCGGCCCCGGAACCCGCGTGGCTTTGTCCCTCTGCCAGTACCTTCACATGTGCGGAGAGTGGTCTCAGCATGGTGGTGGCTGGTCCTGGAGGTCTTCGGCTGCCGGAGCCCTGGTCGGGGCGGGGAGGAAAGCTCAACCCGCTCCCCTCCAAGGGACTCCGGGAAGGAACACCCAGGCGCGGGGGCAGAGACTGCACTGTTCTCGTCCGGGATCTGGATTTTATAGTCTCTGAGTCTTGGCCGCTGATGGGATTACACGGCGCCAGGGGGCCAGGTGGTGGGTGTGACCCCCGCCTACTGGAATTTGGAGGATCTGGGTGGAAGATGCTCGACTCCAATTCGAGTAGGCTTGGAGGTCTCGGCCCCGGAACCCGCGTGGCTTTGTCCCTCTGCCAGTACCTTCATGTGTACGGAGAGTGGTCTCAGCATGGTGGTGGCTGGTCCTGGAGGTCTTCGGCTGCCGGAGCCCAGGTTGGGGCGGGGAGGAAAGCTCAACCCGCTCCCCTCCAAGGGACTCCGGGAAGGAACACCCAGGCGCGGGGGCAGAGTGCAGTGGTGTTTACAATAAAAATTATAAAACATATTTATAAAAATTATTTTTACTGGGGTCATAGAGATGATTCAGTTGAAAAGGTTGCTTGCCATGCATGCAGCTAATCCAGATTCCACTCCAAATTCCATTCCATTCCCACCTCATGGTTCCCTGAACATGACCAGGAATGATCCCTGTGCATAGACGAGTAAGCCCTGAGCACCATTAGGAGTGGCCCAAACCCAAAAACCAAAAATTATGTTTACTTAGAATGTAAGCCTTATTGAATGGCCATAGTATGCCTGTGGCTGTATGTTGGGACACGCATTTAACTTGTGGATATTTAAAAATGAGAACTGTTCTTTTCTCTCTTTATGAGATAAGAAACTGGGGGTTCAGGAAGGGGCAAGCCAGTTAAGTGGCAGAACTGGCCTTTATTTTAAACCCCTGTTATTTGTTGCAACAAATTTCCTTTTTCTTGCTGAGAAAAGGGAGAATCACATGAGGTTTTAAATAACAAATGAGAAAAGGAGGCTGGATAGATAGTTTTAATCATTCTATGTTACAATATCCAATACAGCGGGTAGGACGTTTGCCCTGCATGTGGTCGACCTGGATTCGATTTTCAGCATCCCATGTGGCCCCCTGAACACCGCCAGGAGTGATTCCTGAGCTCAGAGCCAGGAGGAATCCCTGAGCATCACCGGGTGTGACCCCCCCCCCCCCCAAAAAAACCAAAAAAAAAAAAAAACAAATGAGAAAAGATGTGACTGGAGGTTTTCTTCTTTACAGATCATGACAACTGGCCTGAGGGACCAGGGGACCTTTCAGCTGTGAAAAGGATAAAGGAGGCTTTTAAGCAGAGGGCCAAGCTCTAAGTCAAGAAAATAAAGGGATGTTTCTGCAGGTGCCTCACCAGCTCAACAATGCATTTGTATACTTTTCAGGGCCTAATAATTTGTATGGCGATATCACTATTATTCTTGATAATCATATATTGATTGCAACTACTATACTACTAATAAAGTCACAATTGATGCCTTTTCACTTGAGATTGAAAAAAAATTTGATAGAAGTGAAAATGAATTTTACTATGTGGTCATACTTTTTATTTCTAAGCTATCTCAAAAGTCAAACAGTTGCAAATTAATAATAGAGGTAGTTTAGCCTCCTTGAGGTTTAAGTAGTTAATTATAAAGGTAAGCAAGTAGTCTATATTTGACAACTATTTTCATGCTTCAAATCTGAATTATGCAATGATGTAAGTTTTTCATGTTAAATAATTGGGACTAATAAAGCTTTTTGGTGGTTATCTCTGTGTATGTCTGTTTCTTTGTTTTAAAGTCAAATTTACATAGACATCTTACTTCAAGGGAAAAAACACTTACTTCAAGGACTTTTCTTTTGCAGTGCAGGACTTTCAGGACTATTCAAAATATTTAGCTTTTCTCCATGTTTTTCTGTTATACATCAATTTCTCCCTCCCTCCCTTTTTTAATTGAATTTTCCCGAGAAACAGTTACAAAGTTGTTCATGATTGAGTTTCAATCATTCGATGTTCTAATACCCAACCCTTCACCAGTACACATTTCCTATCACCAGTGTCCCCAGTTTCCTTCTGCACTCCAACAGCCAGCCTCTATGGCAAACACTTTTATTCTCTCTCTATCTGTCTGTCTCTGTCTCTTTTTCTGTTTTTCTGTCTCTGTGTCTGTCTCTGCCTCTCTCTCAAACACATATATAAACACAGTCTGTCTACTCCCCAAACTCGGTTATTTGCTTTTGAGACAAAGTTACTATCTTCTTTCCTTATGAGTAATACTCATAGTGAATGTTAAGCCAGGCTCTGGGTTAATGGCCCCAGAATCTGCCATTTTCTCAGACTCCTAGAATGAAGTAATGAAGTGTGCGTGTGTGTGTGTGTGTGTGTGTGTGTGTGTGTGTTGTGGGGGCTGACACTTAAGGAGCTGCTCTCTTCCAAGTCTGAACAATTACAAAGTTACCCCAGAGTAGGCACACCTTATACCTTACATTTCCTGCCTGGTGCTATTAATGTGGAAAGTTCTGACATCTTTTCCTAGCTAGCATTTTAGCAGCGATCTGAAGGTGAAAATTTCATGGCTTTTGAATTACAAGCCATGAGAAGACCAGAGTGGTGGAGGCCTTATTTTTCAGATAACCTTCTATGAACAAGAGCTAACCACTCCTGACGTTTTTGAAGTGCTGTTATTTAGTTATTTCTGCTGAAAGCTGGGAACCTAACTAAATGTAATAGAACTTCTTATACATTCTTGTTGAGGAGCACAGACTATGATAAAAATATTTCTTAGAACTGTGTGTCTGAGCTGAAGTGAGTACAGTGGATAGAATATTTGCCTTGCAGGCTCCAGACCTTGGTTCAATCCTGAGAGAGGAAACCTCAATTTACCCTTGCTAGCTGCTGTGAACAGTCCTGTATTTTGCTGGTTCGCCCTACATTTTTGGCCTTCTGCAAGTTACTGGGCTTTTTCTCATAAACAGGAAGTTGCAATTGTCCATCATAAAATTCTTCCCAGTGCTTAGGCTCATGGAGAGACTAAGATACTGGACAATACCAGAGGCAGATGTCCAGAAAGACTCAAACTAGCCAGGCCACCATGTAGATTTCCTGCATTTTCTGTAATACTTGTCCGTTGATAAGAAATCCAAAAGGCCTTTTAAAAGGCCTACACAAAATGTTTCCTTTTAGTCTAGTCCTATACTTAGTTCTTCTCAACATGGGGAGCTCCTTTTCCTTTCTCTTCTACTTTCCAATAAACTTTTCTACTTTCCGATAACTCTGAGTCTGATCATCTTTATTATTCAATATTTTCATTTTTGAAAATATTGAAGAACCTGGGAATCACAAAGGAATACACACCCGCCGCTGCTTCTGCCTCATCTGCCTCAATCCCAGACACCCTGCACGATCCCCTGATCCCTGAGCACAGAGCCAGGAGTAAAGCCTGAGCACCACCGGGTGTATGGCCCAAACCGACCCCCTACACACACACACACACACACACACACACCCCGAAATATAGAACCGTGCCTGTACACTTCACACACACACACACACACACACACACACCGAAATATAGAACCGTGCCCGTACACTTCATCAAACCTGTTCCTGCAGAAAGCATGCACCCTTCAAGTAAATTTCCTCTTTTAAAAAAAAAATAAATTTTAATTTTCATTGAACTACCATGAGATACACAGTTACAAAGCTGTTCATGGTTGGCGTCTCAGTCATACAAGGTTCCAACACCCGTGCCTTTGATGCAGGAGCAGACTCACAAAGGGTGCCGACCACAAGGAAACCGTGGCCGGCCAGAAGCCCGGGAGGCTCTGGAGCAGCTGCGGCGGGCGGGTGGGGCTCCCGGAGCCGGGGCGGGTGGGCGGGGCCTCTGCCCAATGGGCGTGGTCTGGTAGGGGCGGGGCGTGGTCTCGGGTCACGTGGCCGTTTCGCTCGGCCGACCCTGGATTGCTGCGGGTCACCACGTAACTCCTGGGGCCTGCGTTCCGGCAAGTGGGACTCTGTGTTGGCGATGAGCTCTTTGGTTAATTTGAAGAGCTGCCTGGCAGCCGGTTTGCTGCAGAACAAAGTGGCCATCGTCACCGGCGGGGGCACGGGCATCGGAAAGGCCATCGTGACCGAGCTCCTACACCTGGGTGCGTTAGCAAGACCCCTGGGCCAGGGAACCGGAGTTAAGGTGGCAGCAGATTTCCAAGGCTAGAGTGACCTGGGGCCTGAGAGCCAGTGACCTGGGCCTTAAGACGAAGCTGCTATTGCAAAGCCAAGGACAAGTGGCCCTGATTAACACAGGGAGGAGAGAACAGAGATTTCTAACTACTTAAGAATAAGGCTTCCGGTGGAAGCATGCTGTGGAATTAATTGCAGGTGTTCGTTTAAAATGAACTATTCTCTGTCCTTGTCTCATTGCGGTGAATGGATATTTGTAAGTAGAGTATACAGAAGGTTGTAACAATTATTTCCTGTAATCTCCCACCTCATAATCAGAGCAAGAATATTTCCTCTTACTCTTTTCTGGAGGAAATCGATGAACAACAGGATGACAGTGATACAGTGATTCTTTTCTGAACATTGATCTTAGTACAGAGATGACTCTGTAAACATAAAAACAAAGAAATCATGGGGGAGTTAAAGATATATTGCCCCTAGGAATTTGTAGATTATGGTTTTCAATCTCTGATCAGCAAAGTTTTTTTCTGCTTAACAAGATCATGTTGGGGAAAATTGACAGTCTATGTATTGGTATGTAAATACTCTTTTACAAATAATGTATTCAGTTCTGCCTTTGTAGTCTGAGAAATATTTGTTCTCTTTTCACTAGTCCACAGGTGTCAAAAGCTTGAAGAGCACTGATATAAATCAGTGTTGTTAAAAAGCTGTAAATACTGTTTGGAGGCAAAGGAAAAAAAAAGAACATGTAAATAGAAAAGAAATGTATTCTGTTAAAGACTTTCACAAATAATTAGGAAAAGATCTGGTAATCTTGAGAGCAAGTTAGTTTGATAATATGAACCAAACATTCTAACCAGGGAGAACTTCTGAGAAAATCGTCAACTTTTTTGTTAACAAAATACAAGGTAAAACATAACAAGATGCCACTGCTTTTCTAATAAGGTTTCTGATGCTGGGGAAATTGTCGGGCCCTAGAGATAGCATAGGGGAAAGGTGTGGCCTTGCATGCTGTGTTATGTTACATCCAGCATCACACATGATCCTGGAGCACTTCTCGGAGTCCCTTCTGAGAAGAGAGCCACAAATAGCCCCTAAGGACTGCAGGTTCTGGCCCAAACACCCCTTTCCACTAATTCTCCTTCCCCAGGTCCACAAAATGTGATTGTTGAAATGAAATTGGAACTAAGTATAAACTTTCTGGAGAGCATTTTGGGAAAAATAATCTCCGAGCGTTAATAGTACTCACTCTCTATGATGTAGGAATCCATGTCTAAAGAATTTAAAGAGATGAGCAGAAATTAATACTGATTTGAATACATCTAAAGTTACAAACAGTTAAAAAAATCTAATAGTTTTACAGGGAAGTAACAATGTCAGCAGTGCCAGGTTATGCTGTTATTTAAACATCTTGCCGTTGAAGATTTTATTTATACAGAAAAAAAATGTGTAAGTGACAAAAGGAAGATTCTAACTAAGAAGAGCATTCTGATTTGATTGTTAATGCAAATACGCAGAAAAGACTGCATATATATTCAGAAACTGTAAACTTGTAGCAGCAACTTTGCTTGTTTTTGTTATTGTTTGTGGCTCCATATCCCCTGGTGCACAGGACTTACTCCTGGCTTTTTGCTCAGGAATCACTCTTGGCTGGCTCTGGGGATCATATGAGGTGTCGGGGATCGAACCATAGTCAGACACATAGAAGACATTTACCTTACCCTCTGTACTGCCTTTCTAGCACCTATTTTTCTGAAAATGATCAGAATTATGGATGGCTTAGATTGCCTTCATTTTTCCTTCTTTGAAATGAGTATGTGAGTTGCTTTTGCTTCGTGTTTCTAATGCCTAACATATTGTGTAAACTAAAAGCCAAAAGACAGAAAGACAGAGGTATGTGCACGCACGCGCACGTGTGTGTGTGTGTGTGTGTGTGTGTGTGTGTGTGTGTGTGTGTGTGTGTAATTCATAAGAAGAAACTGAAATTAGGCCGGAGCGATAGTACAGTGGTAGGATGCTTGCCTTGCACTTAGCCCACCTGGGTTGGATCCTGGACATTAGTAGGGCCTGCTGAGCTTTTCCAGGGGTGATTCCTGAACTTAGAGCCAAGAGTATGCCCTGAGCACTGCCAGCTGCATGTGGCCCCAAATCCTAAAATAACAAAGAAACTAATAAAGAAAGTTTGTATTTCCTAATCTGGCCCTAGTGCAGCTTCATCACCATTACTGTGTCCAAAAACCACCAAAATTTAGCCTCATTTAGGAAAATCCATAAAAGGACGAGAGTCAGGGTCCAGGGAGATTTGCCTTGCATGTGACTTGCCTTGCATATGGGATTCAATCTCCGGCACTGCATATGGTCCCTTGAAGTCTCCTAGGAATGATATCTGAGTACTTGGGTACAAAGCAGGGGTAAACCCCAAGCACTGTTGGGTGTGACCCCAAAAACAAAATGTGTGTGTGTGAGAGAGAAGAGAGAGAAAGATAGATAGAGAGAGAGAGAGAGGCAGAACCAACTATCTTATGTGGAAGTCATATATTGGGCTGTATAGCAGTTTTGCCAGATTTGGTTCAACTTCACCAGCTTTTATAGGTTTTCATACATTTGAAGTTTCTTAACACTTGCTTAGTAAATTTGTGTAGTTAAACACTCTACACATGGGTCCCTGAGCGCAGTGACCAACTCTGTTTTCATTAAGACAGGCTGAAACAGAATAATTATGTCACAATCTTTTGGAAGCCATGGATCCCTTTGAGCTGCCAATGAAAATGATGAAACATCTCTAAAAAATAGTACTTTAAAAATGTGCATGCAATACTGTTGTATGGATTTCTTAATACTATTGTATGAATTTCTTTCAATGAAGAGACAAATGACTTTTAGTGTACCTTTCTCAGCTTTTATTTTTAACGAGAGAATAAATGGCTACTTTCTGAAAATTATTAACCCCGAATTGGCCAAGCAGAAGAAAATATTGGCCAATTCTGTTGCTAGTGAGAAGGCTACTATATTTTGGCATGAAGTTGAACTTCACTTAATTTGGTATTAATTGGAAATTGGCCACTGAGGCGTGCTTTTTAAAATTAGATGAGTCCAATATGTGTAGACTGTGTGTCACTGTCTCTGTCTCTGCGTCTCTGTGTCTCTGTCTCTTACTGTGTCTCTGTCTCTGTCTCTCTCAGACTGGACAGAATAGAAATAGGAAAGGCAAGTTGAAATCTCGAGGCAAGATAGCAGTATTTTTTTCTCTGTAGACGAAGCTATTGCCAACAGCAGAGCCCTTGACGATGCTTAATAAATGTAGGCTTGATGAATGAGTTGAAGATTAAAAGCAGTCAGTTTCAGCCCAGATGGGAAGGGAATATACTTGGTTCCAAATGCCTTGATGGAACAATAATCCCATACTTTGCTGTACCTTGTTCTAATTGTTTACCAAACTTTTTTTTCCCACTCATCTATATCATAATAAAAAGGCCTATCCAAATCGCTTGGCATAAAGATTAGAAGGATTATTCTAATGACTACCTAGGTAGAATGAGAACATTGCTATTGATTTAAATAATATAGAATATATGAAAGAATATAGGAGTTTTCCCTCTGGCCTTCTAAATCCTCTTAATCTTTCACTGTGCATACATATACTTTTTTTTTTTTTTTGCTTTTTGGGTCACACCCAGCGATGCGCAGGGGTTCCCCCTGGCTCTGCACTCAGGAATTATTCCTGGCAGTGCATGGTGGACCATATGGGATGCCAGGGATTCAACCTGCATCAGCCGCCTGCAAGGCAAACGCCTTACCCACTGCATTATCTTTCTGGCCCGACATATACTTTGTTATTTATAAAATTGATATTAACTGTTCTACAGCTCTGTCATTTCAGATATTTTCTTTGCTAGAGTCTCACTTTTTGGATGGGACCGTGCCCAGCATTGCTTAAGGTATAATCCTGGCTCTGGACTGTGGGATCACTCCTGGCAGTTCTTAGGGGATCATATACAGTAGTGGGGATCAAACTCAGGTCAGCTGCGTGCCAAGCAGTCACCCAACTCATTGTACTATCTCTCTTGCCCCTATTGCTTATTTATTTTTTAAAAATTATTTTATTGTTATTATCATTATTATTATCATGTTTTGCTTTTGGGGGTCACATCCAGCTATGCTCAGGGGTTACTCCTGCCTCTACACTCAGGACTTTACTCCTGGGAGTGCTCTGGGAACCATATGGGATGCTGGAGATCAGATGCAGATTGTGTACAAGGAAAGTGCCCTACCTGCTATACTATGCTCTGCCAGTCTATTGCTTATTATTAACTAACTAAACTCGGTTTCTAATCTTTTACCAAGCATTGCAGTCTGTATTTCTTGCAATACCTTTGTACCTAGCTTAACTTTACAACTGATAAAATGTTCTAGCAGTTAAAGAAAATGGTCTTTTAATAAACTTATATCAGTCTATTCTCATATTAGTTAACTAGCTGTCCAAAGCCTTCAGGATTCAGATAGCCATCAATGATTATTTAGTGAGTTATTATCAGATATTATCAGTTATTATCAGTTATAATCAGAGTGATTATCAGTTATTATCAAAAGATATGAATGCTTCCGCAACCAACCCGGGTTCAATTTCTCCATCCCTCTCTGAGAGCCCAGCAAGCTACCAAGAGTATCCTGCCTGCACAGCAGAGCCTGGAAAGCTCCCTGTGGTGTATTCAATATATCAAAAACAGTAATAACAAGTCTCACAATGGAGATGTTACTGGTGCTTGCTCGAGGAAATCGATGAACAATGGGAGGACAGTGCTACAGTGCTACAGTCTTCTTTTGAAACCTAGGACAAAGTCAACATAAATCACTATAGTATTCCTGAGGAACAAGTTTTTATTTGTCATTTAGAAAATGAAGTTTCTCATGAAAGATACTTAAGCCTTTGTAGGAATAATTCACCATCCACACAAGTGAAATTTCCTTG